ACAACGGCACCTTTAAGGCAGAAAGCTGCATGCTTGGGTCGGCACGTTAAAAATAACTTAGAGACATCACATGGGAAAGAGTCCAGGGACAGGACAAGGGGGGGGTCCTGGGGCACTTAGGGCGATGGGACGTGCGGTGTGACAGATGTCCCAGCGCAGGGTTAACCCCACTGTGGTCCACAGGGACAGGGGCAGCTCTGGCAGCAAAGCCCCCGCATGGAGCAATGCCAGCTGTCTGCTGGGTCACAGGAAGGGGACGCAGCCCACGGCCAGGACAAGCGGCTTCCCATGGCTTCACAGTGCTCCCACACTGGCAGTGGGACTTCATCGTGTCCCAGGGGCCAGCTGCACAGACAGGACCCCTTGCCACAGCCCTGGGACAGCCTGTTCCCAGCCCTGGGGATTTGCTCCCTTTCCCACAGTGATGCCAAGTCCCTCTGCCTTGCACACACCATCCCTTGTAGTTTCCATGTAGTTTCCTTCCTTGCAAGGCCCATGGGGAAAACAGCGGAGAACAGAGGCTGTGCTCAGGAGCCGGTGAGTTTGTGAGCATCAGCTCCCAATAGCAGGCACCACATCTTCGGAGAGGGCACAAGGGACAGTCCGGACACAAAGGGACCGGGGATGGCCCCACCCTGGCCCTAGACATATTGCTTCTTGGATGCAGAGCTGCTGGGCCGGCTGCACAGCTTCTCCTCAGGGACTGGGGCATCTGGAACCCTGGGGGCATAGGGGTCCGACAGGGGCCTGGTGCTGCTGCCCAATGCCAGGTTCTCCTCGTTGCGGAAGTTGGCCCAGTTCTGCTCACTGGAGAGCTTGTTGTAGGCCTGGTAGGGCGGCGTGTGGCTCTCAGCCATGGGCAGGAAGGGGTAATGCTTGGCCGGGTAAGGACCCGAGCCCATGTCATCAGCAAAGGCACCCTGGCTCGGGCCAGCCGGCACCGGCACCTTCTTGATGTTGCTGAGCAGGCTCTTGCAGCAGAGGTGGAAGAGCTCCAAGAGGTTGAGGATTAAGGAGATGAGGCCCATCACCAGCATGAAGATGATGAAGATGGTCTTCTCGGTGGGGCGGGAGATGAAGCAGTCCACCTGGTGTGGGCAGGGGTCCCTCCTGCACACGTAGCGGGGCACCATGGAGAAGCCATACAGGTACCACTGGCCAACGAGGAACCCTGCCTCAAAGATGCTCTTGCAGATCACGCTGATGATGTACGTCCACATCAGCGCCCCTCGGATCTTGAGCCGCCCATCCTCGGTCATGTAGATCTTGGACATCTTCTTCTCTACAGCTGCCAATGCTTGCTCAATCTTCGGGTCCTTGCTGTGGATAGCCCGGAGCTCATTCTCCTGCTGTTTCAGTTTCTCCTCCTTCCGCGAGAGATAGACAACGTGGCCCAGGTAAATGAGGGTCGGGGTGCTTACGAAGAGGAACTGCAGCACCCAGTAGCGGATGTGGGAGATGGGAAAGGCTTTGTCGTAGCAGACGTTGGTGCAGCCCGGCTGCTTGGTGTTGCACACGAAGTCTGACTGCTCGTCCCCCCACACAGACTCACCAGCCAAGCCCAGGATGAGGATACGGAAGATGAAGAGGACGGTGAGCCAGATCTTCCCGATCACAGTCGAGTGTTCCTGGACTTGGTCCAGCAGTTTTTCCAGGAATCCCCAGTCGCCCATCTTCTAGGAGCCTCGTGCCTCTGGCAGCAGAGGGAGGAGAGGGGGATCGAGTCAATCCCCCATTCGCACACTGTGTCCCCAAGCTTTCTCAGGACACAATCACTCTTTAGAAGGTCCCAGCAAACCCACTGTGAGGGCATGGCTGGCAGCTCACAGGGGCAGCCTAAACTCACCCCTCCTACAGCCCAGCCCCACCAAAGAACAGCAAGCAATGTGACAGTGGCACAAAGCCCTGAGCACAGCTGTCACCCTAGCAGTGCTGTCCCCAAACTGAGTGCAAAATCAGAGAATCATTAAAGTTGGAAAAGGCCACTAAGCTCAGCTAGCCCAACCTGCAATCCACAGCCAGCTCCCTTGCTGTGGGTCAATACCACCCCAGCCCCAAATTGTTCCCCCCATGCCCTTGTAACCCCAGCTTAGGGACCCCAAAGCCACTCACTGCACGCAGACCTGGCACTGCTCGTGGGACCCCGGCTGTCCCACTGTCACCCCAGCCAGCCAGCCAGGCAGCCTGCCTGCATCCCCCCTCATAGCACAGCCCTGCAGCCGAGCTGGGAAAGAGGAAGCAGCCACAGCCCTGACTCCTAATTAACGTTTGCTAATTAAGCGCAGCTGGACCATTTAAGGGACACGTCTCCCAGTAGGATGGAGAAGTGCCCCGAAGCAGAAAAGAGGGTGCATGCAGAGAGCAGTGATCCCATCACAAAGCAGAAAATGATGCGGTGCCGGGGGTCCCGGGGGTCCCGTTCACTCACTCACCGCCCGCCTGGCAGCGCCGGGCACGTCCCTTCTGCCTCGGGCCGTGCAGGGTGTGAGCGGCCGGGCCGGGTCGGGCTGCGGGGGCCGTGCGGGGCCCGGGGGACTCGGAGGAGGAGCGCGGACAGGAAGCCGGGGCCGGGGCTTAGCGAAACGCCGCAGGTGCGGGGAGCCGGGCCGGGGCCGCCCGCTCCCACCCCGTCGGGGCGGGCCGGGGGCGGTGGGGCCGCCAGCACCGCCCGGGAGGCTCCCGGTGACGGCGGGAGGCGGGGAGAGAAAAGTTGTGCGCGACCCAAACGCGAATCGTTGCTCCGGGGCCGTGCGTGGGAGTCGAAGCAGTACGGGACGGGCTGGGGGAGAGGAGCCGGGGGAGGGTCCGGCAGCTCCAGGGGGGGAGACCGGGACAGAAAGCGGTGGGAATGGCCGTGCCCCGTTGTCCCCCGCAGTCCTGCGGGGAGAGCCCGGCGGCTGAGCGTCCCGCACCCGTTCAAAGCTCCTCTGCGGCCGCGGGCACCGCGAGCATCGCGAGGCGACGGGGACGGCCGCGGGGACACCCGATGGGAGATGCTCCGGCCCGTACCCGGAGGATGCTGCCCTCGGGGCTGGTCCGTTCCGGATATATTTTGGGATCTTTCGCTTCTCCAGGCGCCTGTGGAGCGGGGCCGTGCGCGGCGTGGGCGCTGGGTGGTGCTGGAGCCACATCGGAGGCTGAGCGCTAGCGATGGCACGGGGCCGCGGCCGCCGATGGGTCTGAACAGAGCCCGGCTGAGATAAGGGAGGGTTTGGGACAGCGGGAGGCTGTGGGGCGGCACTGAGAGGCCGCGGTGCGGATGCCCTGGGTAGTTTTGCTCTTAGTGAGGGGAGTTGGGACTGATACAGGAGAGCAGTGTAAGCAGATGCTGGTATTTTATGCACAGGGTTAAGTGCAGATACTCTGGGGGACAAAAACCCCCATTTGTGTCCTCCCAGCTGCACACAGCACAGGCTGCATGAGAGCGGCAGATCTTGGGCAATCCAAGCAGAAACTGGGCCAGGAAACTGCTGCCTCTCCACACCAGGACGTGGCATTTCCTCCTCACAGACAGGTCTGAGCAGAGGTGGAGCCAGAACAGCCTCGTTACGTTTCATATAAATTAATTGCATTGGGTAACATCCACGTGCTGTGGCACAAGGTGTCCAGCACCCATCTCCCAGCCAGCTCAGCAGGGTCACCGCTTCCCCCTTCCCACCAGCCCAAAGTTGTGGCTGCTGCTGTGACGTGTCCCCTCATTGCATCTGTCCCCAGTGATGCTCTGCAGCCAGTCCCTGATGGGCGGAAATGATCACCTCTGGGCAGCAGCCCCAAAACCACAAAGGAAATGGAGCTGTCCCCACTTGTGGATGGACCAGCTCCCACATTGCTTCACTCACACCGGCCACAGGTCTCCAGTAAGCCACGAGGGCGCCTCAATACAGACTCCAAACTGGTTGCAGAGGCGCATCCTGATCAGAAACCCATGATATCTCTCCTCTGGTGTTGGGTGCCCAAGTCTGGCACCACAGATGGCATAAGTGACAAGGTGCTGAGCAGCAGAGATGCGTCACCGTGCCACGTGGGCATCACTGTCACTGCCTTTCAGTGCAGCACGAGCCCCAACCGTTGCAGCACCTGCTGCACGACGTGTGCGGATTTGAAAAAGCATGGGTTGTGCAGACCCTCCGCATACAGCTGCTTAGGGAGAGATTAAGTGGAAATCATTTCTATTTATTGTAATATTTATCAAGGTTTAGTAAATGATTGATGCTGAGCTCGCCTTGATTTCCTTGGGGGCCACAGCGTGCAGTTCTGGTGAATTAAAGTTTAATGACGTGTGACAAGTGGGAGGGCAGGGGCAGGTGGATACCAGGCACGAGGCCAGGGGGCTGAACCCACCAGGGGCACCTGAGGAAGCAACACAAATCCGTTTTTTCAGCCCTCACCTCCCCCCTGCAATTTCCAGCAAGCAGAGCAGATCCCAATGTCTACAATGAAACGTTTATTGACACCTTGGATTCATTGCTAATGTGAATGACACATCCGTCTGAGGCAAGGGGTGGGTGCAGAGGGAAGCAGCAGAGCCAGAAAAGCCACTTGGGCAGGACGTCAGCGAGGTGCTTGCATGAGCAGAGAGAGAGAAACTGTTCCTGCCTGTCCTGGGCCAATGCAGCAGCACCATATGATGGGCACCAGCAGCCTGGGCTGGGCACTACTCAGTGCATTTGTACCCAGCATAGGAGCAGCAGCACAGGAAACTCAAGAGGAGCTGTTGGAGCCTTTGGCTGCTCCTTCGTGCTGGTCCCAGTCCTGTGTGCCCTCCCAGCACAATGGCTTTGTCCCCACTGGAGGCAGCTTGGTGGCTGCTTAGCAGAGCTTGTGATCAGTGTCCATGTGCCAGCAAGATGTCCAAGCACCACTGGGTGCAGCCAGCAGAGCTCAGGGGCTGCCCGTCCCTTACCTGTGTCTTCTCAGTCACCCCATAATCTTCTCTCAGGGGACTTTGTTGGGTTTAATAATTTTTCACAGAGGTCAAATATCCAGAGTTTGGGAACTTCGTAGGCTTGAAAAGCTCATGGTCCGAGGGGAAGGCAAGCTGGCTGGAACAGGGGAGGTTACAGCTCCTCTCCTCTGTGGAAAGAACAGACACTCATAGTTACAGCGTGCCTGTGGGCAGCTGGCACTGGGCCACTGCTAGGCATGCCCTCACTGCTGGGACACCCTGGGGATATGCATGTGGTCGTCAGTCCTGGCACTATTAGTCCTCAGAGTCCCCACATCTCATGCTGTGGGTCCCTAAGAAGGTCTTGTCTGGTGGTGGGATGGGATTCCTCTGTGTCCCAGCTTGATCTGTGCCCACTCTGTACCTGCCCTGTCCTGCCCGTCACAAGCTGCAGAGGTTACAACCACCCCAGCCCATCATCATCACATCACTCATGTTCCCATGACATACAATTGCCCTTAGAGGCACCAAGAAGATTTCCCCTGGATGTTTTTCCCTCCCCTACAGAGCCAGTGAAGTCCCAGCTGAAGGCTCTGGTGGTGGCATTGCTGGTGGTCACCTCCAGGGCAGCCATCCCTGGCACGTGCCAGGACCCTTATCCTTCCCTCTTCCCCTTCCATGACCCCATCCGATGGAGGTCAGGATGGGAGCCATGGCCTTTAGGCTGCCACACACCTATTCAGGGCCTTGTTCTCCCTCTCCTCCGCCTTGAGATGGCACTGGCAGGTGGAGGCTTTGCTGTAGCTCATAGAGCGCTTGATGGACTTCTTCCACTTGCGTGTGCTCCGGACAATGCGTTTGAAGATGAGGTAGAAGATCTCACAGACAGTGAGGACGATGCAGATGGAAGAAGCCCCGACCATGAAATAAGTGAAGACTCTCTTCTCGGTTGGCCGAGCGATGTAGCAGTCCACAGTGTTGGGACAGGGCTCCACGTTGGTGCACTTGACCAGCCGTGGCAAGTCGAAGCTGTCCCACATCTTGTGGAGGAGGTAGAGGAACAGGATCTCTATGATGAGCTTGAAGAAGAGGCTGAGCAGGTAAGTCCACCACAGCCCACCGTGCTTCTTGCCTGTGTTGCTGTACAGCTTGGGGCAATTCTCCCCATTCTTCTCCCTGTTCTTTTTCTCGCGGTCCTCCCGGTAGGCCACGTGCATGATGACCAGCAGGGAGGGACAAGTGACAAAGATGAGCTGCAGAGCCCAGAGGCGGATGTGGGAGATGGGGAAGAAGTGGTCATAGCAGACGTTGGTGCAGCCTGGCTGGCGTGTATTGCAGTCAAAGTCCTTCTGCTCATCCCCCCAGACGCGCTCGGCTGCCACCACGTAGACCAGGACACGGAAGACGAAGACCACGGAGAGCCAGATACGACCGAAGGCTGTGGAGTATTTATTGACCCCACTGAGCAGCCCCTGCAGTGTCTTCCAATCCATGATGAGTGGTGATAGCTGCAGTCCGAATCAGACACCTGGAGAAACATCGATGGGTGGGGAGATTCAACAGGACACAACAGCAGGGCAGCTCATCTCCTGCAGCACTGCAGCGCTGTATGGACCCTCCTAACCCAGCTGACCTCCTCCTGTCCATCACACTCAGCTGGGGACACGGCATGACAACATAGAGCAGAGCCTGGGCTGATGGAGACACAGCTGACCCTGGGTTCTTACAGCGACGTTCAGAGGTGATTCAGCCCTTCCAGGCTTCCCTCTATCAGAGCCTTTGCCATAAGGGAAGAGCTGCCTGGAGCACTCCTGCCAACCACAGTCCCTGACTGCATGCATCGGTACAAGCTGGCAACAAAATCCCCTGGATAAACAGAGAGGCCGTGCCCTGGGAGGATGTCAGGGCTGCATGACGTGCTGGGTATTGCAGCAAAGCAAACCCTTCAGTGAAAAGCAGCCTCGTGACCTGGCAGCACCCCTGGGATAGGGGCAAGAGGAGACCCTGCTGCACATTTCCATCCCCCCTTCAGTCCCCAAAGTCCCAGCACGTGTGCTGCTGGCCACCACAATGCATTGCCAGGCCCTGTTTGGTCTGCTGGGTACTCACACATCAACCCACTGTGTGACTACTCAGGGCATGTCACTTCATGTGCTGAGACACATCAGAGCTGTGGTATGATGGAAGGGAGGCTTTGGGGAGCCTGTGGCTGCCGTTAATCACCTAGCGGGTGAAGCTCCCCAGCAGGACCAGGCTGGCAGGGCTCCCCATGGGGCGCAGCACCAGGTGTGCATGGTCTCCACTCCTCCAGCCCCAGGCTCACCTCTCCAGGAATTCATATCCATCAGCTGCACTCCCCTGCACGCTCTGCACAGCCCTGGGGCTGTGGGAGTGCTGGGCAGCCCCTGTGCGCATCCATCAGTTTTGGAGACCGATGGGATCTTTATCATTAGGAGATGTCAGGCTCTGACTCTGCCCATCCCAGCCCCACTCAGGCCTCAGTTTCCACATGGGTAAATTGGGCTGAATGGCTCCTGCTCACTGAGAGACCAAAGGGGTTTGCAGGAAACAAGTTTTCTCTCTTGTAGGTGACACAAGGGATCCTGGGCCCAGATGGGGGCAGAATCACCCATGTATGTCACCCTGGCTGTCACTCCTCTCCCAGGTTCCAGTGCAGACACTTCTCAGTATCACCATCCTCAGCATTCCCACACCCCACATTCCCATGCTGAACAAGCTCTGCCTGTACCAACCCAGCACCTCTGAGACGTACCTGCAAGAGGCTCCGGTTCCGTCCCTGCTCACCGAGGGCTGCGGGGTGGGAAGATCCCAGTTTGGGGCATGGCTGGCAGCACAATCACAGCGCAGTGCTCGGGATCCCCTCACTGCTTGGTTCTACGTGGCGTGGCACCTTGGTTCTACGTGTCCTGTGGCTGTGCGGAAGGAACAGATCCTCAAGTGCTGCCCAGAGCCCACAGAGCTGGAGAGCTCAGCCCTGCTGGAGTGTGAGCAAGCCCAGCACTTCCTACACATCTGCAGAGAAATCAGGAGCAGGGAGCTGCCACGTATCCATCCTCAACCAAAAGCTGGTGAGCGAAGCCTGGAGCCCGTAACTGCTGCGTATCCCATGAGGACCACTGGCTTTTCACCATCCCCCCGACAGCCACCTGTAAATCCCCCACATCCCCATCCCTGAGGGCTCCATGGGCGATGCTGCACAGCCCCCCCCTCCCCCTCCCTGCACCCAGCGCTCACCTCAGCCTGCTGCAGCTCCTGTCCATGTGTCTGCAGTGGGGCAGGAAGGGAGCTGAGCTGGGAGCTGAGCACCACGCCCCGCGTTGTGCAAGCCCCGCGGCTGGGTGATGCTGGCTGTTGGCCAGGGGCAGCTCCAGGTGCGCTGGGCTCTGCCTCCTGCAAAGCACCCGGCACCGCTGCGTGCCAACCTGCTGCGTCAGCCCCAGGTCCTGCCCTGCGTAGGTGCAGGGCGGTGGGACTGAAAGCACCCGGCTCCCACCTGGGGTGCAAATGTAACAGAGCTAGGAGCAGGGATGGGGTGGTCGTGCCCCCTGCATTGTCCCATGCTGTGGGCCATGCACAGCCCTGTGGATCAAGTCTGTGGGGTCCTGGCATGGCATCAGGGTTCCCAACTTCAGCCACTGCAGCATAGCACGGCAGCCAGAGCTGTGACACCCACACTCCCTTAACACTGCAGGATCCATCCCACCTCATCCAGCTCAGCCCACGGCTGTAAACTCCCACCCCAGCCCCAGCAAAGTACCTGCCCTGCACTGAGGGAAGCAGGGTGGGTCTGGGTAGCTCTGGGAGCGGGGAAACCCATTCCTGGCTGCAGCACTCCTGTATGCTTGGGTCCCAGCTGCAGTGTGTCATGAAGGGAAGGTTTGTTCTGTTCCGAGTAACTGGGTGAGTCTGGCAAACAGATCCGTGTGGTTATTGTCTGTGCACATGCACATACATGCTTGGGTTGAACAACAAAGGCAGGTCAAATCCTGCAGAAGAAGCAATAGAGCCAGATTCCTCCACCAGAAACAGCAGCTCCTCCAGGTGATGCTCTGTGCCCCAGGGCCTCTGAGCACCGAACCCAGCAGCAAACCCAGCCCAGTGCTGATGGGGCTCTCACCATCAGCCCCATCCACACCAGGAGTGAGCCAGGCAACAGCAACAGTTAAGAGTCACAGGTTATACAATTATGACCCATTTCTAATACAGTTTGCCTTACTAATGCTTTGGCAAAAGAACATAAATATCTCCAACCTACAGCACCCCACAGACACCACCCTGCTCTGGGTGCTGCTGGGTGAGACCTTTCCCAACACCCAGCACCAACCCAGCAACATGACCGTGCCCCGCTGACCGCGTCCTGCCCCATCCTCGTGGGACCCAGAACGCATCCCTAAGTGGGCAACACCCCTGTCCTATGGGATGCTGGGTCAGACCCTCCCTGTGTGGGCAGCCAAGTGTCACCGAGCGTCCCTGCTCCACCTCAGCCCCATTTCACGCCTCTGCCAACATGGCCGGGGCAGGATTGCATTTCCTATTGCCTGTGGTTTACCGGCCCCGTGATTCCTGATGGCACCACTCCAGCACAACGAGGCTTTGGGGCCCCCAGGGCACGGTGCTGGGACCCCTCCCAGTGCAGGGCATGGCGGGTGCTCACCGTGCTGTGCTCAGGACACTCGTGGCACACAAGGAGCCGCTCCCTGAGGCGATGGAGCCTTGCTGCATTTTTTCACTCCAGGTCAAGAAGATTTGATGCTGTGCCAGACTTGGGGGCACAGTGGAGAGCGGGAGAGCCCAAGCGAAACCTTGCGTGGTTCCCAGGCATCTCTCCTGTTCTGCTCAGAGAAAACACAGCAGTTCCCAGTGCCAAATCTGGGCCCTTCCTATTTCTATCCCCCCTTAACAGGAGTGCGAGCCAGGGTGATGCTATGCCAGGCACCCACCTCCCCGCTGCAAGCAAAGCCAGGGCCCCTGGAGCCCTTCCCTGGCCCTGGGCACCTATCAGCAGGATCAGGAATTTGAGCTATTTTGTAGCAAGCCACAAGTGGCGGCAGGAATCTGGGGGCTGTGGCCTAAGAGATAGAAAAAGCAAAGGGAGGAGACACCGAAAGCCGCCCAGCTGGTCTGGTTTGCTCCCCAGGCAGCAACAAAACCTGTGGTCCCAGCAGCCCCTCTGCTGCAATTGGGGACTTGAGCAGGGGCCGTGTGCCCCACGGCTCTGACACACGGGGAGAAAGTTCAGTGCCTTCTGACATGGGCAGAAGTTTTTGCCCACGGCAGTTGGGTGGGGAAGGAGCACAGCCCTGTGTTGTGCTGCGCTCCGCTGGGTATTTGGGCAGCCACGCCAAAAGCATAGCTCCCATCTGTGGCTGTGCTTGGCCTTCGGTTTGCTCTTACTCCCTAGCAGGAAGCAGCCCTGTGTTGTGAATTCGTGCCCACATGGGAGTGGGATGCTTGGAGTCCCCCTCCAAATCCATCGGCATCCCTGGGAATGCCCCATCCTACAATCAGTACAACATGAACGCAAAAAGCACTCAGTGACTTCCAGTGCGCTGACCCCGGGGCCTCCATAAGGAAGCAATCGAGCTGCGGAGCACGCAGCCTCCGAACACCACCGGAAAAAAACAGATCTCAAAGTCTCCTTAAAAGGGTTTTCAATGGGGTTTGCAAGGCGGAGGTGCCGGGTCACGCAGTGGGGCCAGGTCCTGGCGCTGCCTTTGATCCAACCCAGCCCCGACCTCACTGCAGCGTGGGAGTCACCAGGGGCGTGGGAGCAGGGAATTGGCCACAAATCAGAGGTTTTGTCCTCAATTCCCAGCAACCAGGCGGGTTTCTGACAGTCACCCTGCTGGGAAGGATGGGCTGCCCCAAGTGGCATCTAAGTCCCACTGCATCCCCAGCTGGGCTGGCATTGGCAATGCTTTAGTTTTAAATGCTGCCTTCCAAAAATTCAGGAGGCTTCTGGGCATCCCCCGCAATAGAGTCCCTGGATGATGATGATGCAAAGTCCAGAAAATGGCCTTTATGATAACATCCCCTGACACCAAGTGCTCTGTGCCCCATGGGAGCACCACTGTCCCTCATTCCCAATTCCTGCAGTGCCATTTGGGGCAATCTCAGCTCCCTTTGGTGCAGAGCACAGACACACAGCTGAAGGAACAAGATAACCACACCGATGTCCTTCCAGCCACCACCAAACCCCAGCCTGGATGGTGCAAGGTTTTGCAGAGCTGCTGCAATGCTTGCTCTAGGCAAGATAACGCAGCACAACAACAGCAGCACCTGGACAGTCAGGTCCTGCACTAGGTGACTGCTGCTTTGATGCGTGGAAGTGGGGCAAGGATGTTTGGATGCGGGCTGGGTTGAGCTGGATGTGTCCCATCCCAGCAGGGATTATGGCTTTCAGCTGGGAAACACCTCTGGCTTTTGCTCTGAGAGGACAGCCTTGATCAACAGCAGCCAACCGTGCTGCAAATCGAACAGCCCAGCCCTGTGCTCCAAAGGAGAGGTGAGGGCTTAGCACAAGGAGCAGCTTGAATCCTCTGGCATAAAGATCTCAGCAAGGATCCACAGCAACGAGAAGACAGAGATCAAACCAGCTTCACTTAAAAGAGATGGAAGGAATCCACTCATACACACCATCTGCCACCATCACCCCAAGGGTGTCCAAACTGTTTGTGCCACGTGCCAGCAGGGACCCAGGAGGCAGAGACCCCCCTGTGCTCCTCCATTACCCCCATCCTCACAGAGCAAACCCACACATCATCCCCATGGGGGAACACAGCATCTCCTGCCCCCTGCACATCACAGCTCAGCTCTGCAGAGCTGTGGGCTCAGGGTTAATGAGCTCAGACCTGCTGCAAAGTGGAAGCAGCTGCACAGAGAGGTGGCCGAGCAGAGCCCTGCAGTGCAGGGCTGGGCAGGAGAGCCCCCTGTGTGCCTTTTCTCTGCAGCAAACACAGCAAGCACTGGGGCTTTCTGTGCACACGGAAAAAATAATAATTGCACCCTCTAAATACAGTGAAACCAGTAACAGATCGAGCCGCTTGTTCAATGTTAATGTTACTTATGAGTGCATTCGCCATGAAATTATTGTTAATTATTCATTCCAGCTAATGTTCAGTTACTGTTGATGGCCTTAGAAATTGCAGAGCAGCCTGAGTCACGGCAGAACGCGACATATTACAGCAATAAACGAGATCATACTCTGCCATTTAATGTTATTGTTTAATCAATGGCTGGGGTGTTTTTCCTCTCCTTTATTTGGCTGCTTTGCTCGGGTGTTTTTCTCCAGCCCACAGCAGGCTCCTCGCCCTTGTACTTCGTGGCTGTGGCTGTTGTACCAAGAGCAGCATTGCTCACAACTGGCTCCAGAGCTGCTTGGTGCCTTTCCAGGGGCAGCACAGCCTTCGTGCCCTTCCTTGGCATGAGATCTCCCCTGCAGTTTTGCGCCCAAAAAGCAGGAGAACATCACTTAGAGACAGAAATATTTATTTGCTGCAAAGATACACTCAGGACCCAATGAGGCACTGAGCTGAGACAGGCTCAGTGCATGGCACAGAGCTGCTTGCCCCTCAACTTGCGGTACCCACTGGTTCATCTTGCAGCACCTGCTCTTACCCTAAATCCACCAGAACGATGCGAACTGCCTTGCCTTGAGGAGGGGAGAGGCTCCATGGTTGAGCCACCCCAGTGCTCCCACAATGGGGACTTGGGATGGTCCCATCTGGAGCAGGATCTTGGGCAGACAGTGCTCCAGAAGCCCTAGGAAGGACTCTTCTCCTGCTCGGGCATTGTGGTGGGGATGGAGGCTGTGGGGATGGAGGTTGTAGGGATGGAGGTGGTAGGGATGGAGGCACTGGGGGCTTTGTATCCCACCCCATGGAACACCTGTCCCTCTGTGCTTGCAGGCTCGGCACAGTCATGGCTGTTCCGGTGGCTCTCCCTGGTGCCAGCCTGCAGGCTCTCCCGACACCGCTTCCCAATCAGGTAGGCAGCCTCCACCAGGCTGAGCACGATGCAGATGCAGGTGGTGACCACCATGAAGAGGGTGAATATAGTCTTCTCAGTGGGCCGGGAGATGAAGCAGTCCACGACGTTGGGGCAGGGGGGCAGCTGGCACTTCACCAAGCGGGGCAGGGTGTAGTTCCTATAGAAGCGGTAGAAGATGTAGAGGAAAACCAGGTCCACGCCAGCCTTGATGATGAGGCTGAACAGGTACGTCCACCACAGCCCGCCTCGCTTCTTGCCGGGGTTGGGGAAGCGGGAGCGGTATCCGTCCCCCCGCTCGGCGCGGTGCTGCTGAGCCTTGGCCTCGCGGTAAGCCACGTGCATGATGACCAGCAGCGAGGGACAGGTGACCAGGATGAGCTGCAGGGCCCACAGGCGGATGTGGGAGACAGGGAAGAAGTGGTCGTAGCAGACGTTGGTGCAGCCCGGCTGCCGCGTGTTGCAGTCAAAGTCTTTGTGGTCGTCGCTCCAGACGCGCTCGGCTGCCACCACGTAGACCAGAAGGCGGAAGATGAAGACGAGGGAGAGCCAAATGCGGCCGAAGGCTGTGGAGTACTTGTTGACCCCGCTGAGCAGCCCCTCAAACACCGACCAGTTCATGGTCTCCCGGTCCTGTTAGCTGCTCTGGGAAGAGAGAGGAGACACAGTGAGGGGCCATCTCTGCAGCACCTGGAGGTCCCCACCGTGTGCCCCGTGGCACTGAGCCGTGCTCCCACCTGGGCGCCCTCAGGGACAGCCACTGCCCTTCGCTCGCTCTGAAGTATGCTCTGCCAAACACCATCCCCACCTGTGGGGTCTGAGGACCCAGCAAAGCCTCAGGAGCAGCATCCTCCAGCCACTGCTCACCGCGATCTGTGCCCGGTTCAGCCTGTCCCCATCCCACTCTGCCCTCCCCATTTCTCACCTCATCACCCAGGTATTTGTTATTATTATTTTTTTCTTACGCTACCAGGCTTGGCACGACAAATAGGAGCAGGCTGGGGTGTGACTCATCTGCGGCTCCACCGCTGTGTCCTCTCCCACCACTGGAATCTGACGTCTCCTCCACTCCCCCCACCCCAAAGCACAGGAGGAGCCTGACTTCAACTCAGCAGTGCTGCCCACGCACCAGGGCAGGCAGCCCCTGTGAGCTGGTGTGGCACGGCATACCATGGGATGGCACGGCATGGGACAGTGCCTTATGGCATGACGTGGTATGGCACATTCTGCCATGGCGAGTGGACACCATGCAGTGGGCTTGGAGGGGCTGCTCAGCCCCTGGCAATGCAGAGTCACTGCTCTGGTGATCTGGGTGCCCATCATCATCAGTTGGCATCAACTCAGCCCATTCCATCCCCAGGACCCAGAACAGTTCTGTTTGACCCCGGCTTGCATCCAGCCCAATACGCACATCCCACATGGTAGGGCACAATTCCCAGTGCTGCTTTTGGGACTGACTCTCCTTAAACACTTCATTTATCAACAAAATAAGAACATTTCCCTTTGCTGGCAAAGCAACACAGGCTCCACTGCTCTGTGCGGTCTATGCTGCCCTACCAGTGCTCCCCATGCCCATACCTCCCATGGGAGCCAGAGCTCCCTGCATCCCCCCATGGGGTTGACTGAAGGCACGGATGCAGGACCGGGAATACACAACACCACCCAGTTTTTGCCTTTCCCAAGCAAACTGACAGCAGCAGCCCAGGGTGCACAGTCACACACTGCAGTGTGGGGCTCAGCTGCGTGCACCCACACTGAGAGCATTCCCCATCCCACACCACCAAAGCCCCCTGCACCCGGGGCTGCCCCTTACCTGGGGACGTCCCGCAGAGGCCGGGTCGGTGCTCGCAGGGCAGGAGCGCATGGCAGGGTGTGCGGGGTGTGAGTCAGCGCGGGGCTCCTGGGAGCGAGGAGGAGATTCCCGGGGGCAGGGGTTGGCTTCGAGGCAGCTCCCTGCGTGTTGTGTTGGGTCACACTCTGCCTGCACTGCAGGAAGGGCTGGAACACTGCAGGGATGTGCTCAGGGCGCCTGGATATCCTGGGGACGTTGGGGTGTCCCAGTGCAGCCGGTGCTGCTGTTCCACCACGTGGTCCTTACTGCTGCCCCTGCCTTCTCTTGCTCGGACCCCCAGGGGCTGCTCCAAAATCCTCCCCAGATGGGGACCCGATCCCACGGCAGTGCAGGGGCTGCCTGGGTGCTGCATGCAGTGCCAGAGCACAGGTAGGGCCGACACCATTTGAAGAGCAAATAGATGTTTCATTTGCAATTCCGCTGGGTGTTAAAAAAAAGAAAAAAAAAAAAAAAGAAAGAAAGAAAGAAAAAAAAAAAAAGTAAGAGAAACAAATCTAAAAACCTTTAAAGTAAATTACAAATCTTTGCCGATGGCTCCAGGGAAGAGTTCTGCAGTTTAAAATCAAACAAGCTTTTTTTTTTTTCAAAGCATCAGAGTGACAGCTGTGACGGGAGGGGGGTTTCCAGGTTCCCCTTTAGTGATGGAGGCAATCCAAAGGGGCTCTCACAGCTTGCCATTTCGGGGCCCAAATCATCCTTTTTTGGGTACCTCGGGGTGACGCGTGCTCCCCGCTGCCTCTCCCACTTCCATTTGCCAAAGAGTTCAGACTTGCAGAGGCACAGAGGTGCCAGAAGCTGCACCCAGCCCATGGGGAGCAGCTCGCCCAGGCGGGTCAGCACACAGAGGTGTGTTAATGGCAGATCTCCGTCTTGCAGGAAAAAGCCCCATTAGAACACTTTCACTACAACGTGAAATATTAATAATGCTTTGCATTTATATAGTGTCATTCATCTCGGAGTCACTCGCCGAGCTCCTGACATGAATCACACCGCAGAGTGAGCTCTGCAGGGAGATGGCTGGATGGGGTTGTGCCCGTTTCCCTGCTGCACACACTGAGGATGGCTCTTCCCCAGCCCTGTGCAGCTCTCCAGCTTTGCAGAGCTCCTCGATGCCATCTTTTTGCTGCCTGGGTTTTCCATCTGAAAAGCTTGATTTTTTTTATTTTTATATAGTAAAGTCAAGCTGGGGTGGTGAGGAGAGGCTGCTGCATTAGGGCTGCGGGGGAACCCACAGCAAAAGAGCATCTCCAACATGACCAGAGTGTTTCCACAGCACAAACCATGGCAGAATGCTGAGGAGAGGCTACTTTCATCATATTAAAGAGCCTTATATTTAAAACCCTTCTTCAGATCCATAGCACAAGACCATTGCAAAGGCTTTTACACACTAACGCAGCAGGAATCACTCCTGCTTTCAGCGATGTTGATGCAGATGCTGTTTAGTAGGGCAGAATCCCATTATTGATGCTGGATAAATACAGCAAAGGAGCTCTGGGAGCAGTGATGGAGCTGCTGTGCACAGCGTAAGGCTCGGTGCTCGTGGTGTTCTTTGCTCTCCAGCAGCCAGCAGGAGGGGAGCAGTGGTGGGGAACAAGGGCTGTGTTCTGCTTTGGAAGCCCAGGTCCTGAGAGCAGAGAGTGGGCATGACTCTATGCAGCAGTGCTGCCTGTGCCCAACATGTTTGCTATGCAAAGAAGAAGGCACTTTGTTTGCAGACAATTAAAAAACCAAACAGATTAGTGCAAACCAAACAAACCGAGCAGGCTGGGTGTTGGCTGAACTCCTGGGAAAGTCACTCGAGTATCCAGAGCTGTTGCAGGTAACACAAACAGCAGTGTGCCCTGTGCCCAGCCCTGTGCTGGGATGCTCACCCCCCTCTTGGTGCATGGGAAGCACCAGGGCAGCCCCAGCTCTGCAGGAAGGGACACCTGGGCTTCCCACCCCATGTAACAGGTTCTGTTCTGCTCAGATCTGGGGAAGGAGGAATCCTGCAATTAAAGGAAGGATGGTAAGAAGGGGGCATTGCTAATGAGACCAACAGCAATTAAAGCATCTTCTGGAGCAGCAGTGGGGTGAGGGCACTGTGCTAATGAGGAGGGGCAGAGGCACGAAGGTGCAGGGGTTCAATGAGCAGCATTTTGCAGCTGTGCTGTGGCCCCATTTCTGCAATGGTAAATGCCAGGGCACAGCCTGGTAGCGGCCGTTCAACGTGGCCAGTTCCCATTAATCTGCTAATATTTATAAGCGTGGCTGGAGGGAGTAACCTCATTTCTAGCAAGAGCTTAATTAATCATGGAATCAAACTGACTGAATGGGATGGTGTGGAGATAAATCTGCATGGTTGCTTGTAGCCAAGGATGGAAGACAGGACCTGAATCACAGCAGCTGATAGCGATGAGTGCAGAGGAGGGCACAATGATGGTGAGGAAGAATGGGGCCATGGACAGCCCTCAAATCCCAAAACCCAAGTGGAGAGGAATTAGGGGCCTGGGATGCTCTCCAAACAGGGGCAACGCGTAGCACTGAGGAACATGGTGCAGCTGTCATGGTGAGGTTGGGTCGATGGGTGGACACGATGATCTTAGTGATCTTCTCTAACCTTAATAATTCTATGAATCTAACTCAGCCTTCAGATCCTGCTGCTTGCCACAGAGGGGCTGGGTTATTTCTGTGTTGGGTCTTTCAGCAAAATAATCATCATGCCAGTAATATCTCTGCCCTTGCTGCTGACCTTGGCAGTGTTCGGATGGATGACCCGCAGATCAAAGTCTTTATATCCTATTACCAGCCTCCTGAGTCATGCCTGTCCCCTGGCAAGTCATATTATTTTGAAATGGCAGCTAAATGGGAAAGAGGTCGTGCTCCCAATACAGTGACAATAGGACATGACAGCAGTTTTCTGAGTGATAAAGCCTCAGGTGATGTTGGGGCTCCCAGACAAGTGGCTGAAAAGTGAAAGATTTTAATCACCCTGGACGTGTCATTGTATCCTCACAATCCATCCTGCTGGGGTGGGCTTGTATGGCAAAATGGAAGCAGTAGAAAAAATAATCAAGCCTAACCTGTGCACCAACCTGTTAGTTACCCAGGCTGCAGGTACTGCCATTAATAACCAGCTGGAGCAGCCTGCTGGCCCTCAGAGAGCATTCAGCAATAAATCAGTGCTGGTGCCATGGTGCAGAGCGCAGGGACTGGCTGTGCAGACACTAGATGGCATTGGAAGAACGCGCCGTGCGGTGCCGACAGCTTCCCTGGAACAATCTGGCAAAGCAGAGCAGAAAACTCAGGATGACGGAGCAGAAAATGTCTGTGCCTGGGCAGGGATGGCAGCTCACCTCCAGCCCTTGCACCAACCTTGCGACGGCGCGGCTGTCCGGGGAGCTGTGCTGCATGCTTTGATGCTGACCTAACACAGCACCCGTTCCTGGCATTCTTTATTCTCCCAGGAGCTGCAGGTTAGACCCTGCACAGTTGTTGCCCCTCACCTGCTGTCTGGGGGCTGTGTTGGTTTCCACAGGCTCTTCATTGGGGACGTTACTCCAGATCGCTCTGCTCCAAGTGTACTGCAGCCCCTGCACTGGAGGGGCCACTGCAGACCTCATCCATGGGCTCAGTGCCCACACGTCTGCTTGCAGCCCCGCTTCCATCCCAGGGTCTGGGGGTGGTTCTGGGCACTGTCCTGCAGCAGTGCTTGCACAAACCTCTGTGTGTGAGACAAGGGCAGCAGGCACACAGCCCTGTGCATGAGCCCTGTGTGCCGGCATCGCCA